TTTGTTATTGTGTTTTGGCCTCCTTTGTGGTGGAGGGAGAATAATTAAAAGACAACAAGGCAAGTTAGACTTGGAAGATGGTATCATCTTTACCCTCAAGAAAATCCGCATGCTTGAGAGGGAGAGCTGTCCCCAGAACAGCCTCTCCATCTGGAAGTCTCTTCAGACTCCATCACACTGAGAGGCCCCGTGGGCTGCAGTTGTGTTGAGAAACCACGTGCTCTGGGTTGTGCATGAATATCAGTGACTGTGATCAAGGATGCGGAAAACTGTTTGGAGGAGGATACGTGTACGTCTGCTGGATGCAGGCAAGCGCGGCCCAGGGAGACCAAGCCTGGAAGCAAGACGAAGGAGAGGAGGCCTCTGGCTCTGAAAGGCAACCTGATAAAAGAGAAGAAGGGGAGTCAGAGATCTGGAGAGCTGGGGGAAAGGAGACGAAGAAGACCCCAGGGAGACAGGAGACAGAGGTGTACTCCGGGAGAGCAGAAGGTCAAAGGCGCTTGAGCCAGAGGCCCTCCTCCGTGTGCCCTACTGGAGCACCTGCTCGAGGTTCGAGTGCCAGGCGGGTGAACCAGCCGGCAGTTCCCCCCACAGAGGGAGCACCCCAGCATAAGGCCTGGGAGGGGACCAAGAGGGCATGGAGTGCCCAAGGGGGATGGCTGGGAGCTTCCCTCGGGGGCAGGTTCTTGAATTCAGGTGCTACAGCTGAAGCATAGCCAAGGAGCTACACACCCATGCTTTCACAACCCTTGCCGTGTTATGGCCAGCATTTGGAGGTTGACTAACTAGGATATTCTGTCCACCTTGATGCAGGTAATTAATTGTGAGGCTATTCCAAAACAAATTATTTGGACCTTGGGAAATGCAATAATAATTTGGTCAGTTACGAATAGCCTTTCCTGGGAAGTGCCTGAGTGGGTGGTTGTATGCAACCCTAAACTTCCTTGAAGGAAAACGATTATCTCAGCCCATTTCAAACAGGTTTCAGAGCTGGTTCTAGCAGAAACTGATGTAGATGCCTTGGTGGACAACTTCTCCAGCAAGAGGAAGGTGGGAGAAACACAGCCCAACAATTTCTCCTGCTTCCTTTAGCTGGTTTTGTGAACACCTGCCATGTATTTAATCCCACTGGCTCCTTCACATCCTTGGAAACTCGGCGTGCAAGGTCAACCGGAATTTGGGGTTGGGGCCACTGGACTGCAGAGAATCCTCAATCTGATCTCAATCCAGGATTAGATGCAGCCATAGCAGTGCTGAGTCACCTTCAGGAAGCAGGGGGACACGAAGGTTGATGAGCAGGAGAGGCTGCCGATGGGGAGGATCCATGCCCTGAGACCACCCCTTTCTGGAGAGGCAAGGGTGGCAGCAGTCGCCTTTCTCCAGCTAAAGCTAAAGCTGGACACAGGACCTACCTTCTGGTAAACTCCACTAAAGGCTATTGTGGTCAGAGTTGCCTCTGAAAGTGGTCAGGTAAGTGCAGCCAGAGCCCCCTCTTTTCTTTGAGACAGCAGCCAGTTACTAAGTGCGAGCTAGTAACTAGTAACTTAGTATATAGGGCAGGGGTCTCCAAACTCTTCAGCTCATTGACCCTTTCATGAAGTTTCAAATGTTCATTGACCCCCAAACATTTATTATGTGAAAATAATTTAATAAATGCTACTTTAACAGTACTGCAAACAATAACAGCAACAGTAGATATCAACATCCAGGATACTTTAGAAGATATTCCCTCCTTATAAGAACCTCTAGTATGAGGTATTAGGTCAGCAGATCATTTTGAAGAAGGTCTATCTATGTGGTCACTGCGAGTCAATACCAACTTGATGGCACATAATCAATCAACAGAATTTTGGAATTGGGCAGGAATTTAGAGAACATCTAGTCCAACCCTTGCCCAAAGTAGGAATCCACCACAAGAGCCTCCCAATATATGGTCCTTCAGCTTCTGTTTAAAAACTGCCCGCCAAGGAGACTACTATTTCCCAAGGCAATCAGTGCCAGTTTCCAGTTCTTACCATTAGGAACATTTTCCTGATGTCCAACTGACATTTACTCCCTTGTAATGGAAACTCCTTGCTTTTTATCTCCTAGCCCAACTCCAGGGCTTTGGAGTTCTGCTTTGTCTTCTACACGACAGCCCATAAGATACTTCAAGACAGCTATCATGCCTTGTTTTCTTCTTTCAGCTAAGTATATCCAGAGCCTCTTTTCAGTTTTTATTTCCAAGCCCCTTCTCATCTTGGGGGCTCTCCTCTGGACATGCTCCAGTGGGTCAATGCCCAGCACCCAGAACTTCTCGTAACACTCTAGATGTAGTCTGACTGGTACAGAATCGAGAGGAACAATGACTCCTATTCAACAAAATGAGCAGGACAGCCACTCACTGCACTACTAATGAGATCCCCTCTCTCCAGTTTTTAAAATGAGGCAGGGGCTGCAAAAATACCTCCACACATCCAGAACAACTTCTCCAATATGCTTCAGCGATGCATAGAATTAGAGGGCAAGAAGAGACAGGGGCACCGTCAAAGGAGATTGCGAGGATGACTCCTTTCAGAAATTTCGGACACATCCCCCCTCCGTGAGTGAAACCTACGTATGCTGGGAGAGAGTATTTTGGAAGAGTGGCCTGGATGTCTGGCAACTGGCGTCTCTGGGGCTTGGTGGCACACTGGAGGGAAGCTCTGAACGTCAACGTTCCTGTCCCCTAGCAGAAGAGGAGAGCAGCTGGATCCAGTGAGCTCTTCCTCATGGCCCATGGATGGGATGGAGCCATGGGCTACTCTGAATTTTTCAACAAGGCTCGCAGGAGTAGTGTGCAAGAGGTCTTGGCAGTTGGCTGCATGCCAGGATCCCAGTGCAAGGCAGAAGGTTACTGCAGCCCTACTGGTTTTCTGGAAGCTGAAGAAGGAAGGAAGCTGGAAGTGCTCTGTTGGCAGAGGAGGATGAAGCACAGGGGAAGTGGAGGAGGAATGGAGTATGGGTGACATTTAGGGATGGCATTTACAAGGTAAGGAATCTCCCAACCATTCTATGACTCAGAAGCCAATTCAGGGCAGGCAGCTGACTTCCTCCTGAGAAGGACAGAGATCCACATCAGGTCCATTAAGTGGGGTGTGGAATGAGGAGCTGTGTTGCTCAACCATGGCATACTTCCAGGATCCACTATGACGTTTAGGTGAAACCAAAATGTTTTCCTGTGAAGACGGCAGGAAATAAACAAGGATGAAGCCGCAGCTCAGTGGCTGAATTCCCAAAACTGGAAAGTCAAGCCAGGCAGATACCATCTATGCCGAGAAACACCCTTGGGATGGGAGGGAATCATGAGCTGAGACAAGCATGGCTACCAGCAACAAAGGGGTGTGTGTGTGTGTGTGTGTGTGTGTGTGTGTGTGTCATGGGGTGGGTGGAGGGAGGAGGAACAGGTCCAAGGTCTTTGCAGCACAAAGGCATAGCTCACGGTCTGGGGGAGCCCTAATGTGAGAAGGAATTAGTGGGACTGAGCACCCCATACTGGTACATGTAATGTGAGGGTGGAGTGAGCTAGGGCTGAAGGAACACCCAAGACTGCCTAAGCAGGAGGAAGAGGAGGAGGAGGGGACAGGTGCTTCTTGAAGGATCTCATCTTCAAGAGCACCAGCAGCAGGCTGGATCCACTGCAGAAAGCGGTGAGTGTCCCAAGAGGCAGTCGGCGGGAGCGAGGGGGCTTTCACGCAGGCATATGGGGCCAGCTCCCCTGCTCTCTTTCCCACCTCGAAAAGTGATATGGGGTGGCCTGGTGGTTTGGGGATGTGAGAAGCCAATGGGAGAAAATAGGTGACTCCTGAAGCAGCTGCTAGACTGGGTGGACCCAGGGAGACATAGTGGTGTGGTATGGCAACCACAGATGGAGAGAAAAACTCATTTCTGTTTGGGTGAAGGTTTGAATGGAACTCAGAGGCCAACCAGGAAAGGGCCCAAATCAAAACCATGACATGTAGGACTCATCCTCCCTCCCAAAGGTAGGAGAAGACAAGGATCCCTCAGGCGGCCTGGAGAATGTGACCAGTGGTTTCATCTCTTGAGTCTGGGCCTTGCTTACAGAAACCGAGGCCTGGAAGGGGCTCTTTCAGCCCTCTGCCCAGCCCCTGCAAGAATCCATAGTGATACAACCCCAGCCGATCCCTCCCCGCCCGTCCCTGGATCATTGCTTCCACTGTCAAACTACTCTTCTCATGCTTCCTAAGACCAAGGAGAGCAGAAGGCCACTTTCCACGAGCAGGGCACGCTGAGCAGATGAAGGGGAGCCACTGCTCCCTTCAGCCACGACAAGGAAAATTGCGGGGAGGGGGGAGGCCATGATGGATGCGATTTGGAAGCTGTACAAGGGCATAAGGATGCCAGGGGTCCCAGAATGTCCTGAGGCTGGCTCACCGGGTGATTTTCAGCCTCTTGGGTTGCCTTGGCTTGAAGCAAGACTAACCCATGGTACTGCTCTGGCCCTCAAAGCATTTCTCTCTTGACTCCTTATGTGCTGCATCCTGAACTCCCTGGTGAGAGGACAGGAGGGCGTGTAAATGAGAGGCACATACCCCAGAGCAGAAGTATAATTTGCAGATGTGACACGTCCAAATGTTGCAGAGGTATGAATGGGCGCAACGTGAGCAGGGCGCCATTCTTTACTTCCTCCTGCAGCTTCTTCCTCCCAACCTATTTCCTTGTCTGGGGGGGTGACTCTTGACCTTGGAATTCCACAGAGGAAATCCAGTTGTCATTCCCACAGCAGGGAATGCACTTCCTCTGAGTAAAAAGGATGCCTCGCCTCCCCCAGCTGCACCTCCCACTGAAGAGGAAAATTGGTGTTGCGCCTATTAGAGGAACTGGTTAATTGCACTTGGATAGTTTTATAGGCATCAGCAGTAGCTGCCTCACATCACACACGGGACGGTGGATCGCTGGAGTGTGTGGCAAGGAAGGGATGCGATAGAGGTCTCTGGCAGTGCTGAAGAGAAGCGGCAGCCATGGCAGGTGAGTGCGGGCTCGAAGCTGGTGGCCTCCATTCGCCCTTCCCTCGACTTCTGGGCAGCAGGAGGCCAGGAAGGAGCCAGTGGCTTTGCTTGGGGACGGCTCGGGGGCGGGACGGCTTGCGAAGAAGCACCGCTTTAGGCAGCTATCCCCGTCCTGAGCTGGGTCCCGGTCCCTCTAGCTCAGTTTCAGAAGGAGTTTTTCCAGCCGTGCCTGGAGACCGAGCCTGGGACCACGTCTGTGCAATTAAGGAGCCACGTGAGGACTAAATTCACCCTTCAAGCCTACAAGGACACGCTGGGCAAGGGATGAAGCCAGGCTGCCTCGTGGCACTGCCTCCCTTCAAAACAGGGACCACGGCTTTCCAGCCAAGCACCTCAACGCCCTTGTCCCCCGAGGGCAGTTTGGCCCTACCTCCCACGGCCGCAGTGCTTCCCTCCCGAAGGCAGGCCAGGCCACACGTCCCTTGCCAAGGCCCCACAGGCCTGGAATGACCTCTTCCCCCGCTCTGCCTCTCCCCAGCTTTTCAAGTTCTCTCTTCAGGGCAGAGGAGCATTCTCGACGGGGCACCTGCCACAGTGGTTAATTCTGCTTCCTCTGGGGTAGAGCTGCCTCGAGGAGAGGGCTGAAACAAACTCATTCGCCCAGGTCTTTCCATCGTTAAGGGCTCCCCGTTCAGTTGTTACGTTCTGTATTTCTTGTTTTCCTTGCTGGAATTTGGTCAGCCACCTGGAGCCGTTAAAGGAGAGGGTGGCATGCCGTCCCTGAACAAACAAGCAAGCAAGCGACTGGATAAGTGCATTCCGGGGTGCTTCCTCTTCTTCGCTCCAGTCCAGCAAGTCTCCACCCCCCCCACCCCACCACACCACACCCCACCCCTGAGCTTCCAGCTGCTTTCTCCGTGGCCTTGAACAAGCAGCCCTCCAGCCGGCCAGGGAGGCGACACCTGGGGCGGGAAACGGGAGGCAGCAGCCAGGCAGGGTCTCGCAGACACCCACCACCACCACTCCCCCGGTGTCTGGCCCCTATTTATGGTGGGTTCTTCCTGCCAGCCAGTGGCTGCCTTTCCCCTGCCAGATGCCCACTCCTGCCTGCCACCCTCACCATTTTCCACACCAAATCTGCCTTCCTCTAGAAAGCCCCAAACGAGGAGGAGGAGGAGGAGGCCATGAGCAGATGTGCCCTCAGCACATGCTCTCAGAACATGATGTGGTGGTGGGTCAATTTTACCCAGAACCTCAGCCTCCTGCTCCCACCGGGGACCTCCTGGGCAAGGGAGGTTCTTATCGGCATAAGACCTGGCCCAAAGCATCCTGTCCCTTCTGGGGCACGTGACCTGAAAATCAAGGATTCCGCTTTAAAGGGTTTCTCTGGCAGAGGTGCTGTTCACACCAGAATGTGTGGATAAGCCATAGACAGCAGCAGCAGCAGCAGCAGCAGCAGCAGCAGCAACAGGACTGATTCTATGTTGCCTTATCTGGTGATTTATGCCTATTGTAGCTTTTCATATGTTCTGATAGTCATTTACAATAACGATAGTGATCATAATAAAAACAAAAAAAAGCAAAGGTAGTCCCAGTAGTAACAGGCGCCTTGGGTGCAATCCCAAAACACCCAGAGCACCGCCTGAAGACCCTCGGCACGGACAAAACCGCCATCGGTCCATTGCAAACGGCGGCTCTCCTTGGAACAGCTTCCGTCCTGCCACAGTGCCTTTACCCCGTCAGACCACAGCACCTGCCTCTCCCGGGTCCTTGGAAGGACTCGACAGGTGGATGGAAATGCCAGATCCAGTCTAAACACCTGGCTGACTGCGCAACCAAAAATAATAATGTATTAAATTTATATAGGCCGCCCAACTCCCAGTGACTCTGGGTGGTTTACAATTGTTAAAATCATTTAAGAGCAAAAACGAAAAAATGAAACCAAAAACAGCGCAAGACCAAAGAACAACGACGGCGAAGAACGCAAACCTGGAGGAGAATGGAAAGGAAGGAAGGGGTGTCAGCCGTCCTTGCCAGACATTGCGCGTTCCCTGTAAGAACAGTTGTCCGAGCAATAGGCCAGCAATTTATTAATGAGCAAAATACAAATAATAAAGGTCGTACTTGGCACGGACCTTCCTCTGGGGATTTATCGCCCAGCCTACGGGGGCTCGAGAGGAGGAGGGCCCTTTCTCGGGAGCCCTTGACCCAGGACAAGCCCACCGTATGCCTGACCGAGTCACAAGGTGGGGTACTGATGCAGTCAGCGGGCAAGTCAGTTGATTTCACAGTGCTCTCTTCTTGTTGCTCCGCAGAGTTGATCCCCACGCAAATCAACTGGCAGGTCCCAACCAATTCTGGGGCACATCACACCAACTGCTTTGCCAGCACAGAGTTTATCATCCGCCGTGGGCAGAAATTCGACTTCACGCTGTACTTCAACAGGGCTCCACAGGCAGGGGAGAGCCTGGCGTTCGTAGCAGAGACGGGTAACGCCCCCAGCCCTCCCCAGCTTCCTCCACAGAGAGGTCAATGCCGTCTTCCAGGGCCTCAGAGCAGCTCCGAGTTGCCCTGAGGCCCCTTGATCCTCCTTCCCAGTGCGAGTCTTATGACAGGGCTCTCCGAGGGAGCCCCTCTGTGGAAGACCAGCTCACCGATCCACCAGGCGGTTTGGGGCCTTTGAAACCATCAGATCCCACCCCTTGCTCTGTGCAAGAATCCCTCCAGCCTCCACATGGACACTTCCCACAAGGAGGAGCCGCCCCCTCTCTGGATATCCCAGTCCTGTCCAAGGCCCCTGCTAGCATCTCAGTGGGTGTCAAGCTAGAGTTTCCCGTTGTCCAGCGATGGATGATCGGAACAGTTGGAGACGGCCGCGCGTCCTTCTCAGCGGCTGTCTCCCAACAGTTTGCCTTTGCCTCCCTTCTCCCTGGCAGGTCCAGCCCCTTCGGAGTCCTACCACACCATGAACGTGTTTGCCCTGTCCAACGCGCTGGATGGGGGGGCCTGGTCTGCAGTGCAAAGATCGAGTGACGCCAACTGCATCAACTTCTCCATGTGCAGCCCCAGCAGTGCTGCTATTGGCCGCTACAAGCTGAGCCTGCGGGTGACCTGTGGCAACCAGATGGCAACCAGGCTCCTGGGAAAGTTTGTCCTACTCTTCAACCCCTGGTGCTCAGGTAAGAAGAGGGGCACTCTTCTGCCTGTCGCTCCTGCCTGGGCACACCCTGCTTAGGAGGAGACAGGGGGCTGCCACGGAACAAGGCCTGGCTTCTCTGGCACGAGCTGCCAAGCGGCAGAACGTTCCTGCCCGACCCTCGGCCGCTGAACCCCCTCCAGGGCATCAGGGCGGGAAATGCTGGAGCCTCTCCCGGGCTTGTCCCCTGTCCACAAAAGAGCTCGGAGGGTCAGGCTCTGAACCCGCTGGGAGGAGCCCGGTCTTCAGAAGCCTGGCGTGAGAAGAATGGGGAGCCTTGGCAGTCAGGCGGGGGGGAGGGAGGAAGCCCTCAATTCCCACTGAGAACATGGGGCACGGCAGAGGGCTAGCTTTTCAGCACCGCATTCTTCCCTGCAGGGGATCTGGTTCATATGGCAAACGAGCCGGAAAGGCAAGAATACGTCTTGAACGAAAATGGTATTATCTTTGTGGGCAATGCCAATTACATTGAAGCTCGAGGATGGTACTATGGCCAGGTCAGTGACCAATGTAGCCCTTGGATGTGCCAAGGGCCAATCAGTGCTCATTGGCCCAATTTGGCCTACTGTTAGACACCCCTCTGTGCCACCCTCAAGCTGGGTCTGGATGTCACAAAGAGAGCCCTATGAATTGCCTGCTCAGGTTCTCATTCTTGGGAGCGGCAGACTCCCCGCAGTGCGTCCCGGTGCACTGAGCAGAGATCAGAAGCATTTTCAGAAGCATTTGTATGCTTGAACAGGGCGGCGTTGGTCTTTCCTCAGCCGGCTACACAGGCAAACCTGGCGCGTGCAGTGCACTGGGCTGCGCGGTGCAGACCATGGGCTACCTTCCCCAGCACTGGCGGGCAGGGCAGGACACGTCAGAATCTCACGGCTCCCGTTTGAGCCTCAGGGGATTGCTCTGCAGGACGTTCCTTCGCAGCGTCCAGGGCTGAAGATGCCAAGGGAAAACCTTTCTGGGCGCCCTCAGGCAAGGACCATTCACAGGACTCTGTTTGTGACATCCAGACCCAGCCCGAGGGTGGCACACAGGGGTGTCCGATGTCCTGCAGTGTTCTCTTGGGGGTTTCCACTTGCTGGGATGCTGAGGTGTGAGTTTTCTCTGGGCTGCAGTTTCAAGAGAACATCCTCAGACTCTGCCTTCACCTCCTGGACATGAGCCTCTACCACCGCCAGGACCCAGCGGGTGATGCATCGCGTCGGAGAGACCCCCGGTACGTGGGACGCATCGTCAGCTCCATGGTATGGTCAAGCGCAGCAGGGGAACGGGGACCTTACCGGCCTGTGCCTTCTGCTCCCTCACGGCTCCTGTTCCCCTTTAGGTCAATGGCAACGATCAGGACAACGGGGTGCTGGAGGGCAAGTGGAGTGAGGAGTTTGGCCACCACGAGAACCCCTCCCGGTGGGACGGAAGCGTGGCCATCCTGAGGAAGTGGGCTCAGGACAATTACAGACCTGTCCAGTACGGGCAGTGCTGGGTCTTTGCCGGTGTGGCAGGCACAGGTACGCAAGTCCTGGGAAAAGGGAGCTGGCCGTAGCCCAACACGGACGGTGGCACCTGCTGGGCAGAACACCTTTGCTTCCCTGGCACACTCTGTGTTCCTCTTGCTTCCAGTCTTGAGGTGCTTGGGAATCCCGACTCGTCTGGTCACCAACTTCAATTCTGCCCATGATTCAGACTCAAACCTGAGCATTGATAAATACTACGACCCCTCTGGAAAGAGCCTCAAGATGGGACAAGACTCTGTATGGTAGGGATGGGTAGCTTGGCTGGGGCAGGAGGAGGCCTTGTGGGTTTAGCCCCGTGGCACGTTCCTCCCAACTGGGAAGCCACAGGAGCCTCCATCCCAGAAGTGCCACCAGATGCTTGCATTTGGCTTTGGGGCAGGGCTGGTCAGCCCACAGACGGAACAGTGTCTTGGAGGAAACTAACGAGGCTGGCTTCACGCAAGAGACTTTGGGGGAGGAGCATGTGGCATCAGAATACAGGCAGATACTGTGTGGTAGCCCCTCTCCCTGTGGTGGGAGAATTCAGGTAGAGCTATGGAGAGCTTCGCCCTACGGCTGCTGCTTTCCTAGAGAACTCCACACCCCAATTCCCAGACCCCTTACAAGGCATCTGGAACCCCAACTCCCTGCCCCAGATGACAGGGCCAGCAGCCAAGATGAGCAGAGCCCTCACCCCCACTCCGGCTGGCGACAGAGGTGAAGGGGAATCACAGTATCAAAGGGCCAGGGGTCTCCAAAGATCTGCTGATCCAGCTCCTCCCCAGGGCAGGAATCCAGACAGCCTCTGCTGAATTGCTTCCAGCTAAGGAGAGGCCGCCTCTTCCCAAGGCAGTCGGTTCCATTCCCGCACAGCTCTAACCATCAGGACTTTTCCCTGATGCTTTCTCTGCTCCCTTGTTATCAGAACAAGAACATAATGCAGGTCCATTGCAAAATGTTATTGCTTGTGCAGCTGTGCAAAGCGTTCAGGAAACTGAACCAGAAGGCCCCTGCCTCTCCAAGGAATTGCTGGGGGACAGCAATTCTGCAAGATAAGCTACACTTGTGGGACCCCCAACTTTTATGGAGAATCCCTTGCAACCTCCCTGAGCTTCTGCCTATCCTAGCCAGAATAAATAAATAAATAAATAAATAA